ATTTCGGTTATTTTTCCTAACCGACAACCGACGCTCGTTAACCGATTATTAACCGTTAACCGACAAGTTTATTTTAAATTAGAACTGAATTAAATTAGAAAGGATAAGTGCCTGTGACCCGTTAAAAAATACTAACATTTGTTTCCCGGGGATTAATTTTACATGCGCAAAATACAGCAAACAACAGAACATGAGGATTCACATGCATCACATCACACACCTGCAGCGCTTCTGCGAGCGGAGAAAAACATCATAAATCTAGGCTATAGGCCTATAGCTATAACGATAAATGGGCCTATACGAGAAATACATTTTTACTTAAATAATAAATTAAGAAAATGAAAGAAAAACTGTGCAACAAGTAGCCTAGTATGCAGAGTTTTGGTTAATTGTTGTGCTGCGTGAAAGGAAACCAAGACGGCAGAAAGCGGCATCCTATTTTTCTTTAGGCTTATTTTACAAAAGCACAAAGATTTGTTTTTATTGTGATCGTACACAAATAAAGGCAAACCTTTTACAATTCCGATTATCTTTATGACTAAAAGGAGTAGTTGCTTCCACTGTTAGAAGGAAAAAACTCAAGTGATTGTGCCGGCGCCGCAAGCGCGCACAAAGTTAAGCTTTGCTACCTTGACAATGCAGCCTGTTCATTATCATAATAAACATATGGAGAAAAAACACACTGCTCAGTTTAAATATGTAGTAAAATCTGTGCCGTTAAGTGTTATCACCGTACCGCCGTGATGCTATGCAAAACATTTCGTTTTATGTGGAACGCGAGTGAAGTACATAAATAATAATTTGCCATTCAAATACATCGCGAATACGGAAACATTTGATTTTGTGTCAAATGAGAGAAGCAACATTGGTTTCAGTTTCATTTAGCCTAAATGAATTCGTTTTGGCTTGTCGTTTATGTAGCTATAGCTTCTTATATTTTTAACTCTTGTTCTTTTCTAAATACTGTTAATTGAAAGGGTTTGTTGTGGAGGGGAACTAAAACAGCCTAGCTATGTTTACAGTGTTTATTATAATGTTTGTAAACATTTAGAGTCTGCATTAGGCCTATTTCTGAATGAAATAACAAAATACGACTTATACGCGACTTAAGTTATTTTTTCCTCTAAAAAAACGCAATTTTTTTCGTAATTCAACCATGCAGCAAACCCTTTTTAATATTTTGATAAATTACTAAAAATAAATAAATAAATGACTTTTTAAACCGTTTAACTGATTGTATTAATCGGTCAAAATTGTTAACGGTTAACCGGTTAAAATGAACATCCCTAATTTTGCAGTGTGCTTCGACACAAGAGTTTATCCTTCCCATGCACTTCTAAGCCTATTTGTCCTGCTGCTCGTAAGATTAAGACGGAGAACGTTCTGTTTATATCAGGATAGCATTAGCTGTTGCTGTTGTGACAAAAATAGAGAAAACATTTTTAATCTAAATTTAAAACATTCTCCGCTTATAAATTAACTTTTTCATATCAATGTTTAACCATTAACAACATTATTGCGTTTCTGATTATTAATGCATTTTATAGCATTTTCTATGTATGTTTTGGGTGCTTTTTTAATGTACATCTTGTGTATATTGATGATGTACAGCACAATGGTCTACCATATCTATCTATCTATCTATCTCTCTCTCTATCTATTTATTTCTATCTATCTCTCATCTCTATCTATATATCTCTCTATCTATTTCTATCTATATCTCATCTCTATCTATATATCTATCTATCTCTCTATCTATTTCTATCTATCTCTCATCTCTATCTATATATCTCTCTATCTATTTCTATCTATATCTCATCTCTATCTATATATCTATCTATCTCTCTATCTATTTCTATCTATCTCTCATCTCTATCTATATATCTATCTCTCTATCTATTTCTATGTATCTATCTATCTCTCATCTCTATCTATCTATTTCTATCTATCTATCT